CATTTTTCTGTTCCACCTTTTAAAAAAATCGCATGGTCTACAAAGATCTTCAAAAGTGTTGGAGCAATTATGCTGTTGATAAGCATCTGTTTAAATAAAAGGGCAAAAAAGAGCCAGTCAGCAACATTAAATGAATTGTGTAATTAATCTGTCATGCTTAGTGAGTGTGGAGTGGGAGCCAGGTTAAACTGGAGCTTCAGAAGAGCATAATAAAATGTTGACAAATTAAAAATAAGAATTTAAGACCTAAGGAAACATGACCAGGAGCACAGTCAGTCACTGGCACAACAGGGAGTGTAACAGGAAGATCAATGAAGTACAACCGCTTATAAACCGAGGAAAGTGTACAACAAAAACATTTATTGCTATTATGTTAATCAGAGGATGAGATAGAGCAGCTGCCAAAAGCTTGGAGCCGTGAGACTGAAGAGGGAAGACTAATTAGCAAAGAGGAGATGAAGAGAGATGGACAGAAAAACCAAATCCTGGGAACGATAAACAATAACCCAATGATGAGTAGAATATATATTTTGGAAATTGAAGGCAGGAGTGAATTAAAAAACTGACCAATAAAGAAAGAAACAATGAGAAGAGAATCTAAAACATAATGAATAAATTGAATACTTAAAGGTATTGTGGAGAATTTTAGCATTTTTTTTTAAAGGATCCGCCCTCTCCAGTTAAAAAAAACGTGTGTGCGAGAGCATGATTGAGTCCTCGTGCACGCTCTGTTTAAAGGTTGCTTTTCTCATAGCTCATACAAACTTACTGTGTCTGAGCATCCGCCCTAACCCCTAAATGCCTCAATCACTATATAGAGCAGGGACTATATAGTGGACTTTATAGCGAACTCAGTTAATTTACCGTTTGGTCAGATGATCACTGTTTTTTCCTTTGTTGGTCACAAAACTCCGCTTCTACTGCGCAGTGCCTGCGCCATCTTTGTTATTAGTCGCCACTGCCGCTACTCGACAGTGGCCAGCAGTGACAGCGAATCCCATAATGCTTTGTAAGGAGACCTCTGTGCGCAAAGCATTCTGGGATATATCTGCCTCTTTTAGACACTTTTTCTTTTACGACCTTCGGCCATTTTCAAAGAACCGCGGTGAGAAAGGCGAGCTTCAATGACTGTATGAAACCGAAGCTCCCTACAGATATACTCCTGAAAGTAGGCATGCGCAGAAAAATATAGCTAACAGGTCGAGCATGTAGGACAACCTTACGTAAACATATCACCAGAATGATGGACAATAAGGAGGACCACTTATTTAGATGATCCACCCGGAAATAAAAGATCGTCCTCTATACCCTTAAGGATAATAAAAGCAAGTGATAACCGTCTTCCATAGTCATATTCAATCAGGCCAAAATATCATTCATACAGCTTGCATATTTAAATTTAAAACCATTTTCCATCAGCAATACAGTCCATTTTATTCTGTTCAAAAAGTATATATTTGAAAATGGCAACATTCAAAGACTTTTTACTTACATCCTTTAAAAATCACAAGGAAAACAAACCTTTGTTGGAATTATAGCAACCAAATCTTCCTTACAGTATAAGTGGTAATCAGTGTCTTGCATGTTTCCACCATTTCTATAAATATTTTTTTTCAATGGGCTATTTGTCTTTTTTTAGTTTAAAGGCCCCTTTAGCATCACTCTGATCTATAGCTCTCTCCAAAGATTCCTTCTTCCATCTCCAAAATATAATTAAAGTGGGCGTGCTGTCACACAGAAGGGAATGGAGAGTTGCAGCTAGCACCTAGAACTATGCTTTATAGTAGAAGTAAGAACTTTTTAATGCAAATGTTACATTAAACTCCTACAATACTGGATTCTGGGTAAGCAGGCTTTGAAGGTCATGAAAAAACTGAAACCCTTTTGTAAAACATCAACATGCGTGTGCTTAGTGCAAAGGAAAATTGCAATTAAATCTCAATCGCAATATTGGTAAAAAAAATAAATAAATAAAAATCGGCCACATACCGCTTTCTTTTATTTCACCTCAGTTTGAAGTTTAGCTCCTAGACTGGAGGAATTTGGCCTCAATCTGATTAATCAGTCAACCCCTAATCAGCTAATAAATACTGATAAATAAATAAATACATTTTTCTTCTTCTTTTTAAAGTCATCACTCCTGTTGAGGCTGTATGGCATTTTTTCAAAAAGGCTGAAAAATTCAAATACCCCCTTAAATCCACAGAAAGCTTAATCCACTTCTCTCCCTGTTGTGTTCATCAAGCCGAAGTGCTGAGAAATTCTTTCGCTGTTTTAAGCAGCTTATAGAGTTCAGCGGATCCGATTTAAATGCTGACAGATGAAAATATGTGAAAGAAGGGGAGGGTGCAGAAAATCCTAACTTGTACAAAAGGCACACCATCTTGTACAAGCTGAGGTGCATTTAAAAAGGATGATCCACAAGAATCACATTCCCCCGGGAGATTAAAGAACTGTGCATGGTACTTCCCTTAATGTAGAATTTAATGTTTTATGAGATTAAATGTCATGATTTATTTACCTTGTGAATCACTATATAATTAAACAGGACTAAATTAAATAGGACAATAAAAATATTTACCTTGGAAAGCAAAGAAAGACAAGGCAGCATTATTATGCCATATTTATTTGGATGCCATGGTTCCTCTACAATGTCGATGACATAATGATGAAACAGAAATGAAGAAGATGGAGGGGAAGAAAAGGAATGGAAGAAGGTAGGGACAAGGAAGGAAGGAAGTGAAACAGGTCACAAGGAAGGAAAGAAAGGAGGACGGAGTCGAGGAAGGTACTGCAGGACCCCAAGGTTTGGCAAGAAAATAAGAAAGGAAAGCAGAAATGACATAAGGGAGAAGAAAGTTAGGAAAGAACGCAAGCTGCAACCAAATACACAAGGAAGGAATGACAGATAATAGAAGGACCTATCATAAGAATGAAGGAAGGAAGAAGCAAAGAAAGGATTGACATACTGGGAACTGGAAAGAAGGAAGGAAGGAGGGAATTATAAAACGAAGGAAGCAAATAAAGGATAACAGAATCTTTCTCTGCTTGCTAAAATAATGATTTTGTTTAAACATGAAAAAAATCGTGTATGTGCTGACTGACATTTAAACTATTATGCACGGGAATTTTTCATAGAAAGGATTTTATTAACCTTTTTGAGAAATGTATGACATACTGAGAGCTGATGTGACGTGTTTTGACCTACAGGGGTTCTGAAGTTCAATGGATAAGACAGTTGTGAGAAAAGAGTGAGGAGTAGAACATGAAATGCATGACAGCCATCTTTTTATCTTCATCTCTTCATGATGAAGATAAAATGATGTTTCACTTCATGCTCATCCACAGGGAGGATTCTATTTTAAAGCCTGAAAGTGGTCTAAAAATATAACAGATGAAGGAAATGGATTCAATGGGGAAGCTTTTTTTAAACCAACAGACGTGTTTATGACTTGTATTTTTTTATCTATTAAACTGAGAGTAGCATTTGGTTACTCATTTCTTACTAGACAGTTATCAGGAACAATGAACAGATTAAAGCCTTATTCTGTTTTAGCTCTAAGGCTGTGTCTGAACATCAGCCGTACCCCTATATAGAGTACTTTATACTTTAGGGGTTATGCCATTTTTTATGAGTGTCTGGACGTCTAGTGGATGAAAAAGTAGTGGACTAAAAATATCCCACAATACACCTTGAAAAGTAGTGATCATCCATGGTCACTAGATGAGCATATTTAATCCCACAATGCTTTGCAAGAGCATTTTGCAAAGCAGCTATTTTTGTTCAAGAAAGCTTGCCTGAAACAAGGTAAATATATCAGAATCAGACATACTTTAATAATCCAAGAAGGAAATTACTTTTGTTACACGCTCCAGATATACAAACATTACATGTATATATAACTCAACAGATCAGAAGAGTATAGCAATAGTTAAATCAGCTGTAGAAATTGCATCAATTGTATGACTTTGCATTTACTTTTGAACAAAACAAAAACAATTGCTAGAAAAGAAAGCCGTCTGTGCCTTTAAGTAAAGTTTAAAAAGGCAAACTATTCTGCATATTCATGCATACGTGAGCGTGTTTTTACTTTTGCAAACAGAGTACTGCTGCTAGATTTCACAAGTAACGCAACAGATAAGGGGTGAATCACACAGTGGACATCCTGTATGTACTTAAAACACAGAAAGAGTCACACATTAGGTGGTAAAAATACTCAGAGCTCATTACTTTTGCTAAGGGATTGTACTTTCCTGTGTTGTCTAAACTGAAGCTCAACAAGTCTTTAAAAAACTAATCAATTGTTTTTCTTATTAAAAAACATAAAAAGAACAAGATAAATACTTACAGTATGTTCATACAGTGATATATGAACACAGAATATGTGCAAGAAGCCCAGAAATAGCATGAGAAAGCATTATTAAGATTCTTTTTGGTTAACTTTGTCCTTCATCTATCCTATCACTCCACACACTGCTGACACACATACATACATATCGAGAACACGCTGTACCGCTATGGTCTCTGATGACTTCAACAAATTCCCTAAATACCAGCAGCCTCCTTTCAGGTCAGCAGTAGGATAATTATGTGAGCAGCAAGAAGAATTTTAATGTCAACAGATACTCAAACTAGGACTACAATCCACTGTAGCCATAGTTTACCTGCTATTTCCCTACTTAGCTAAATAACAGTTAAACTCTAATGTACAAGAAAGACGGTAGAGAAGCATGTCGTTTACTGTACTGTACGGTCAGGAATGAATTAAAATATTAGACTTTTTTCCATTTTCTTTTAACCACTTCAGTTAAAAACTGTTGAATCATTGAAACTCAAAGGCTTCAAATGCACATAGTGTAAATAAAAAGCATGTAAACAGTCATTAAAGCTGGGACAGGTTTTATTAGACTACCTGAAGATTTCTACTTACCTTTGTAATTTTTTAGACACTTAAATAAAAGTACGGTTTTAGAGGAGAGACAAAAAGCATGCTCTTGACTCGTGTTTTAGTTTTCTGGTGTTCTCTCATACCTTTATGTTGCAGGCCTGCTCCATAAGCCGCCGGGCGTTCTCTGCTGCTCTGTAGCGCTTAGGGAGTTGCACTCTGAAAAACTTGAGGGCCCCCTCAAAGTCTGCCTGCAGGAGGTCCTCTTTGGATGTCTGCAAAGGAGATATGAAGAAGTGGGAGGAGTAGAGAGGGATGAGACACCAACACCAAAATGAGTGAGCTTCACCTGTCATGTTTCACACATACGCACAATCGGTTTGATTCACTGCAAGGTTAGCATCATGCAGCTCATTATATGAGATATTGATTCTGTTTACATGAAAGACTATTAATGAATTAAGAACACCACAACTGTGTAAAACTAATATTAAGAACTACGCAAACTATTAAAATCAACATTTTCTTACAATCCTCCTCAGTCAGTCCAAACTCAGTCACACTCTAATGTATGCAACTATACACATATTACTTAAAAGTGTTCAAAGCCCTACGTTGTCCACTTCTACAATGTGTTGCAGATCAAAAGCATTTATACCACTTAAACTTTTAACAATTTCCTATGTTACAATAACAGACATTAATTTATTCTATGGGGGTTGGTGTGACAGTCCATAACAAAGTGGCATCACATTGTTAAAGCCTTAGAACCCCATCATAAGAGACAAATATGGGGGCTGAAGCATCATCTTGTATGAGTGTTTGGGTGCAGGAGGGATACGTGCAATTTTTAAAAAATTAGATAATATTTTAACTGAAGAAAGTTAAACTTGATGCATCTTCCAAAGATATCAGACCAGAAGACAAAGCTTGGGCTTAAAAGGGTCTTTTAAATCTGTATTAACCATAAACCAAACAACCTGATTAGCTAAGAAAGATGCAAACCCCCAATTTACACAGGGTCTGACTCCAACTTCCTAATCTACACTGTGCTCAATCTGCTTCAAATTTTTTAAAATCCCTGACCTCAGACCTATAAAAAACTTGTGAACAGACCTGAAAAGATGTGTGTGAAAACCATTGCCGGGACATATATCAGTGACACCAGTTCTGTTAGGAGGAATGGGCTAAAATTCCAGCAAACTACTTTAGAAAGTTTGTGAAAAGATACTAGAGGAAACCAGTAAGCAGTTTTGTTTCAATTTTGCTACAAGCCAAGAAATGTGTCTGGGGTTATGTGATGGTCGGATTTGAGCAAAGCATCTTTTAGTCTAGACACAAAATACTGCATGTAGTGGAAACATAATATTGCACATAAGCTTAAACACAGGACGGTTTTCTTCACTAATTTAAAGGAAGTACTGTAAGTCAGATATTTGCTGATGTTTGAGGTTCACCTTCCCGCATAATGGTGACCCTAAACATATAACACTGGAACAGATGACCACATATTCACATGTTAGAATTGTTAACTCAAAATCTAGACCTAAATCTAACAGAGTTTCTGATAAACCAAACTGAGCCAAAGTCTGGGCAAAATGTTTCAGTCCTTAGATGTACTAAGCTGGCCGAGGCTTACACTGAGACAAACACAGTTCTATTTCATCCCTACTGACCGCCAGAGGCGGTGCTTCAAGCACTGAATGATCATTCTTGCGCATGCGCAGGTCGAGTATTAATGACAACAAAGTCAGCTGTGACCTGCCGGGGACCCACGTGACTCTATATAGTCACGTGGCACCCGGCAATCAATCCCCTTTGTTCTTCTCGCGCGCAGGTGTGTTGAGTACCGGAGTGTGGTCGTGTGAAGCTGGTTGCTTCTGTGTATACCACTAGTTTCCTGGCTGCTTGTTGCTGGTAGCCCCGTGACCGGGTTTGGTCGGAGCTGCGGGTAAGTCTCGCCCTCCAGGGGCTGCACAAGCTGCTTTCACCTTACCAGATCTGCGGTGACTGGTAAGTTTTCGTTCTTTTCTCAGCAGTAGTTTACTGTTCGCTTTGATTTGCCACGTTAATTTTGTGGCTCTTTTGACTCACGGTAGCGTTTCTGCTCGCGCTGAGTTGTTTTCAGTTTGTTTGCCTAAGCCCACCAGTAGCGTTTCTGCTCGCGTTGGGTTCTTCTATAGTTTGTTTATCTACACTCACCAGTGGCGTTTCTGCTCGCGCTGAGTTGTTTTCAGTTTGTTTGCCTAAGCCCACCAGTAGCGTTTCTGCCCACGTTGGGTTCTTCTATAGTTTGTTTATCTACACTCACCAGTGGCGTTTCTGCTCGCGCTGAGTTGTTTTCAGTTTGTTTTGCCTAAGCCCACCAGTAGCGTTTCTGCTCGCGTTGGGTTCTTCTATAGTTTGTTTGCCTAAACTCACCAGTGGCGTCTCTGCTCGTGCTGAGTTCATCTTTAGTTAATAATCGATTTGCTAGTGGCGTTTCTGCTCACGCTGAGTTTGGAATCTCTGCGGGGGTTTTCCTACAACGAGTCGCCAGTAGCGTTTCCTGCTCGTGTTGACTTGTCCTTGGTAGCAGGCTGATCACGCCTTTCAGCAGTATGATGCTGGATAATTTATGTTGCTCGACCTGTCTGGCTCCACTTCAGCCGGATGACGGGCATGACTTGTGTCCCTCCTGCCTCGGTGTGGAACATCTCCGGGAGGCGCTGTCAGATGACGCTTGCCCCAACTGTCGCGTCATGCCCCGGTCGGTCAGACTGGATCGGTTGGCTGCACTGGAGCAGCCTACCGACTGGGCGAGCGCTTCGCCGCGTGCTCGTTTGCCGATGGAGAAAGCGGTGTGCAAACGATCTACTGTGGCTGCACCTTCGGTACCGACGAAGCGTGCTAGACGGACCGATGCAGGGAGGTTGTCCACCAGAGTGGATCATCTCACTACTGAGCTGGCCCAAATGAAAGCCCTCCTCCAGTCCTTTCAGACTGCTGGTGATCGCGGCACGGCTCTCCCTACCGAGCAGGATGAAACGTCAGTCAATGACGACGATGCTGTTTCTGTGGCGGCCTCTGGCACCCATTTCTGTGAGGACCTTCCGGAGCTGGGCTCCGGGGCCTCTGGGTCGGACTCCATTGCCTCCCAGGAGGATACGGGGGAGTCTGTGACATCCGCTATTCGAACGGCTCTTGCCCGTTTACAGATTAGTGTTCCTCAGGCCCAGCCTGCGGCTTCCAGCGCCTTCTTTAGGCGCAGTAGGTCAGAGACTGCCTTTGTGGTTCCTCCCTCGGCGGAGTATGTGCGGGAACTGCATGCTTGCTGGTCAGACACCAAGGCGTTTTCACGTCTGACGACGGATGGCAGGGTCCTGGCAGCTATGCAGGAGGCACCCAAGGTTGGCTTGGGGCAGATGCCAGCGGTGGAACCGGGCATTGCCTCTCTTATAATCCCGCCTGATGAGGCCTTGCGGCCCAATGCCCGTTGTCCGCGTCCTCAGTGCCGTATTACCGACGACCTTCTCTGTAAGGCCTATGACTCTGGGGCCCGCATGGGCCGGATTGGGAACTCTCTCTCCCATCTTATGCTGGCCCTGTCTTCCTCCTTGGAATCTGTTCCGCTGGATCATGCCACGCAAGGCCTGGTTGATGCATCTCTGCAGGCCTTTGCTCTTATGACGAGGGAACTTGGAGGCACACTCTCCACACTGGTTCATGCTCGCCGCCAGGTCTGGTTGGCGCAGTCACCACTAACTGAGCCTTGTAGGTGGACCCTCCGGGCCCTGCCTGTGGTCCCGGGGGAGCTTTTTGGTTCAGCGGCACTGGACGCCTTGGACCGTACGGCTCAGGCCTCTAGAACGAGGCAACAGCTGGCAGGGCTTCACAGACGTGATCGCCAGCCAGTAAGCACCTGGGCAGCTGCGGGTCCTTCACGGAGGTCCTTAGTGCCTTCTCCTTCTCCCACTGAGCCCCAGGGTCTGTTACCAGGTCAGAGATCGGTCCGGGGACCTGCTCTAGATCGGAGGAACAGAGCTCGAGACCAGGCTGGGACGAGGTCCTTTCATCCCTTTCGAGCCGCGCAGTCTGGCCGGCGTCCTCCCGGGCCTTCGAAGGGCCGGGGGACCCGCAGATGATGCCTTAGGGCCGGCGGTCGGTTATTTTTCCCCGGGACAGCTCAGCTTCTGGGCTGCCCACACCCCGGACTTGTGGGTGTTGTCCACCCTGTCCCGGGGGGTACCGTCTTCAATTCCGCCGCCGGCCACCTATCCCTGGCCGGGTCAGGATGACTGTGATCCACGACCCGGTGAAGGCACAGGCACTGAACCAAGAAATCTGCACCTTGCTGGCCAAGGGTGCTATAGTGCCTGTGGACCCCCTGCTGGATCCAGGGGGCTTTTATTCCACGTATTTTCTGGTTCCGAAGAAGACCGGGGGCCTGCGTCCAGTCTTGGACCTCAGAGGCCTGAATGTGTACTTGAAGGCCATGCCCTTTCATATGCTGACCACCAAGGAAGTGTTGCAGGCGATTTCCCCGGGCGATTGGTTCACTTCCATAGATCTCAGGGATGCTTATTTTCACGTTCCGATCGCTCCGCCCCATTGGCGGTTTCTTCGTTTTGCTTTTCAAGGGAGGCATTTCCAGTTCAGGGTCCTCCCGTTCGGACTTTCACTGTCCCCCAGGGTGTTCACCCGATGTGTTGCAGCGGCCCTCTCTCCTCTGCAGGCACAGGGATTGAGGATCCTCCCATATCTGGACGACTGGCTCATTTGTGCCGCGACGTGGGACCAGGCGGTTCGAGATACTCGGTTAGTGCTCCATCATGTGGGATGCTTGGGCTTGCAGGTGAACATGGAGAAAAGCAGTCTGACCCCCTCACAGGAGACTGTCTTCCTGGGCATTGCCATGGATTCCATCTCAATGACTGCTTGCCCGTCACCCCAGCGGGTGGACAGTATATTGAGCGTGCTCCCGGAATTCAGGCGCGGCATGGCGCTGCCTCTTGTGCGGTATCTTCGACTCTTGGGCATGCTTACAGCTGCGTCCGCCGTAGTGCCCTTGGGGCTGCTGTCATTGCGGCCCCTCCAGATGTGGTTGAACAGCTTGAATCTGGATCCCACACGGAACACTCATCGTCTCCGAAGACTTCGGGTGGGGCCTCAGTGTCTTCAGTCTCTGTCCCAATGGAGGGTGAGGTTGTTTATGACCACAGGGGTCCCGCTCGGTTCCCTCCCGTGTCGTCGGGAAGTTGTGTTTACAGATGCATCCTCCACGGGCTGGGGTGCA